TGTAGAGATATGTTTGTGGTTTATTATTGTAGAGGGGTTGGAAATAAAATGAAATAAAATGGGGGTTTAACGTCCTACTGTTCTGCTACGAACTGGGCTAATGAAGACGGGCATACACCATACAGTGTACTCTGTGGGAAATTTTGCCCAGACAGCGGCACTATGGCCTACTCGTATATCGAATTCCAACTGTCAAGGGATCTTTTACGTGCACGCCAATGTGTACACGGGACCTCGGTTTTTCGTCCCATCCGAACGACTAGACAGCGGTTCTTGTCAGGCCCTCCGTCCTGCTTCACTGTGACAAGGAGTACGGTCGCCTGTCCAACGTTGTGGATTAATAATAATAATAATAATCACTTGTTTTCTCTGGGTTCTGGGGGGTTGGATGGCCGAATGGTAAGCACGTGCATGATGTATCATAAGGCCTGTCATTGAGTCAACTGGCGTGGTTTTGAATCCCCGGTTGTACGTGACAAGGAGTAGGGTCGCCTGTCCAACCTCGTGGGTTTTCTCCGGGTCCTCCGGTTTCCTCCCACTGCCGAAGACCCCTACGCGCAAGCGAATTATTGAAATAAAATTAAACCATATGTTAGTCCCGAAATGACCTAGTTTGTGTCGAGTGGACGTTTAACCCCATTTCTCTCTCTCTCTCTGGGTTCTCCGATTTCCTCCCACTATTAAAGACCCCAACGCGCAAAAGAATTATTTAAAAAAAATTGAAGAATGTGTTAGTCCCGAAATGACCTAGTTTGTGTCGGGTGGATTTTAAACCCCATCTCTTATTATATATTTTATTATCGTGCTGATGAACTTTGATTATAGGATGTAGAATACAGTAACGAGAGTTCGTGCAACATTCAAATAAACAATTTTATCTATTATACACTGACCTATAAAGTTGTTATTGTTCATAGTTGAAAAAGTTAAATTGTTTTAAAAGTTCGTAAAGTTATGTCAGCATTAAAACGGGTATATTTTTTTTATCACCTTTTCCCACCCTATAAAGCCGCTGATCGCTGTTTGTATATTTCAGACAATATTTAATTAGTTACGGCATCATCCCCGCTAAAATGTAGTCAGAATGATTATTTGACAATTAAACAGGCATTATGTAAGAGCTAAATCTGCCTAGTGCAGGTCTTTCTTTAGGCCTGAAATGTTATAGAAATTCTTATTCAGACATTTATTAACTTACCAAGATCATAATCAACTCTCGATATACTAGATTTGAATGCGTTTAGTGAAGTATGCGGTTACCGTAAAAATGGATAATCGAGACTTTATTATCGTAAAAACGTTAGTAATGACAACCGGGGCTACCCTATAATTGTATCGCTAATATCTAGACTCAGAATGAAGTAATTTTAATAAAATGTCAGCATATTCTGTTGACATTATCCATTTTTTTTAACTATTATATCGAGAAGTTTCCGCTCTTTATCTAATCTTACCTAAAGCCGTTTTAAAGAAAGCAAAATCAAATTTTCAACGGTAGAATGACCCAGTTTGGATTCAATTGGAAATGAAATGAAATATAACGTGGTTTAACGTCCTACTGTTCTGCTCTGACTTGACCAATGAAGGCGTAGATTAAATCAGGTTAAACAGACAACCAGCAAAACACTTGAATTAAGATAATATGTGGCACTGGCTTGTTTGACCATATCTCATTTTAATATCGTATCGTAAAGTAAAACGGAATCGAACCATTTCTGGGCTGAGACGTTTAAGAGAGAGAGAGAGAAAGAGAGAGAAAGGGGGGTAATGTCCACTAGACACAAACTAGATCATTTCGGGACTAACATATGGCTCAATTTTATTTCAATAATTCGCTTGTGCGTAGGGGTCTTTAGCAGTGGGAGGAAACCGGAGGACCCGGAGAAAACCCACGAGGTTGGACGGGCGATCCTACTCCTTGTCACGTACATGCAGGGAATCGGAACCACTCCAGTTGACTCAATGACAGAACTTATGATACAACGCGCACATACTAACCATTCAGCCATCCAACCCTGTTAATGAAATAAGACAACTTGTCTGCGATATCACCCTCGCTGGAAGCGGACGTTAAAACACTAATAGACATGAAATGAAATAAAATGGGGGTTTAACGTCCTACTGTTCTGCTCCTAACCTGGGCTAATGAAGACGGGCATACGCCATACAGTGTGCTATGAGGGAAATTTTGCCCGGGCAGCGGCGCTACGGCCTACTGTTATATCGAATTCCAACTGCCAAGAGTTCTTTTACGTGTGGACACGGGACCTTGGTTTTTCATCCCATCCGAACGACTAGACAGCTGTCCTTGTCAGGCCCTCCACGCCGAGAAAATCGGGATCGAACAACCGACCGTACCTCCATGCTAGTGAGACAGCGTCTTACCCACTTAGCCACGTGATTCCCAACACTAATAGAAGAAGACGTGGGGGATGGAGGCTTCACATATTTATCTCTGTCGATTCTCCCACCTGATCATTAGAACTAATACCAACGGATTTTATCCAAAATTCGTTTTTAAGCTTGTTGATCATTGGTCAACATGATTCAACTGTCCGATACGACACGTTCGATTGGGCCAAAAGCTATACGGATGGTTAATAGGCTTTATGGACTTTTATAAAGACACGATACACCCTTACAACAAGTGCATCTAATGTTTAAAATTTGCACATCGCTATTTCAACAATTTAAAATGCCGGTCGGTAATTGTTGTTGTGTGTCAATGCCGGATGATTTATGTGGGAAAACAGGTGGTTTCAGCACACAATCACCACGAGAACTTCTTGTTTCAAAAATCCGAGATTTCGTTTACAGACTCGACTAAAACAGCACCGAACCTAATACAGTTGAACTCGGGTTTATCACAAACAGTCGGGCTCGCGATAAACTTTTGCTTTCTTCTTTTTGGGTTTCGTTTACGACTCCTTTCCGCCAAATGGTTGCCATATTTTATTAATAGTTTTGAGTGATAAGACTGTTTGATACAAGGTATTTACAGTGGGTTTGCAACCTTCACAGCTGGTTTTCTAATTATCGCCAATATAACCCACTATACCGGAATATAAAAATGCATCTTTGAATCTTTTGCACCATAAATCAGAAGGTTTTTATTGGGGACAAGTAAATAGAATGAGATATAGACATATGTATCTATTACTTTTGATATCTCAATGGTAAAGGCGATGATAAGCTTATAATGATGTCGAGATAAAAGGAGAACAAGGCGTAATAAATTCAGTTATATGAAATTCATACTATGTCATTAATATCGCCCGAAAGTGGGGTCACGGTGGCTCAGTGGGTTTGGTACTAACTCACTAACCAGGCTATGTACTGTGTCGCAGGTGGAGGGTCTGGCAAGGGACAGCTTTTAGTCGTTCAGAGAGAGAGAGAGAGAGAGAGTTTAACGTCCACTCAACACAAACTAGGTGATTTCGGGACTAACCTATGGTTCAATTTTTTATTTCAATAATTCGCTACGGTCGTTAGCAGCGAGAAAATACCGGGGGACCCGGAGAAAACACATGAGGATGGACAGGCGACCCTACTTGTAACGTACCAGCTGGGAATCGAAACCACGCCACTTGACTCAATCCTTAGTCGGTTAGACGAGACGACAAACCGTCGCCCTGTATATATAATGGCGTGCGCGTTAAAGAAACCTTGGCATTGGGAATTTGAAGAAAGGTAGGGACAAGCGCCGCTGTCTTGGCAAATTTCATCATATCCCTCTTCTCGACTTGATCAACTCCATTTCACCTTATTTCCGTCTAAATCTTTACACGTTTTGTTTTAATTTCATAAGTAAATAAATAACAAAATATCACGGAAACGCATTTTTTAGCATGTATTAAAAACGCATTTGTTTTAAACGACGTTTTCTGTCAAACTGTCAAATGCAGGTTTTGTTTTTAAACGACGTTTTCTGTCAAAGCGATTTTTAGGCGACACAAACTAGGTCATTTCGAGACTGACATGGTCCAATTTTATTTCAATAATTCGCTTTTGCGTATGGGTCTTTAGCTGTGGGAGGAAACCGGAGGACCCAAGGCAAACTCACGAGGTTGGAAAGGTGACCCTACTCCTTGTCACGTACAAGCAGGGAATGGAAACCACTCCAGTTGACTCAATGACAGATCTTATAATCCAACGCGCACGGGTTAACCATTCGGCCATCCCGCCACCCCCTCCATTAAGATGTATTGGTGCTGACTGAGGTGTTAAACCTACAGAACGTCGTTTAATTCTGGTCCTATCCGACGGACTGTGTTCTAATATTGTACTTCTAAGATAAATGGATCTATTAACATCTATACGAGCCGACTGAAATATTAAACCTACAGACTTCACTATAACACGAAAGGTTTTTTGGTCTGGATTTTTTTTTTTAAAGTAGATGTGATAGAATCTGCAATAATCGTGTGAGGAGAAACGGTGGACACTCTCACATTAAATACAGCACAATAAGACGATAATAGAAGCCAAAAAAACAACATCCATTAAATATGGGGGCCATATTGAAAAGAGCTTTAAATGATACGTGTGATAGATATCAACAGGTCGACAAAACAGGTACAATTCGCTTCGTCTCTTTTTCCCACGCCGAAATGTGGCATTAACACGAAGACCTCGCGAGGCTTCAACTATTTAAGGCGCGCGATCATCGAGAAAGCCGCATGTAAACAATGGCATGTGTATTTGAAGGCATTACTGGTGTGCGTATGTACACACTGCTGGCCATCTTCATTACCACGTACAGAAATTACAGGGCGGGAAATTCCCACACACAAAATGTAAAAGAATCGCTAGATTTGTCGCGTGCGAACAGTTTATCTCGCAAATTTCACCTTGATTGACAGTCGCAATCCATCGTTATTGACATAGTAACGCGAATCGACCAATGATGAGTCGTTTAGGTGATAATAATCCGCCTCTTAAGCCTTGATTGACAGGTTGTTTCTGGCTTTCAGCGTGGGAAATATACAACTATGTCCTGTGATATTGAAGCTTAGTATAAAGTGGTTTTACACGTACAACATTCCTATACATTTCCTTGTCTATTTTGCTCCAAGTTTGTCCATCATTTCCAAGGACGCCTGAATGTGTTCATCAGAAATGAGCGACACACAGAAAGAGGAGAAACGTCCGATGTCTTCCTCAAATCGTAGGGTAAGTAATATGTATTACTATGTCCGTGTATTTGTCCTGTGGATGTATAAAATCAAATATCACTTATATATATATATGCATGTCTTAAAAAAAATGATAAATCCTAAAAATAAAACTATGAATGACAATTCATTAAAACATACTAAAAGACGAAGAACGCAAATCGTAAAATATTTAATGTTATATACATGTCTTTGAAAATGGTAGAAAAATCATACTATTAATGGCATGTCCAGGTGTTCTTTGCGATAAAAGTGATCAATGACATGACCTATTTTAAAAAAAATAAACGAAGAAAGATATATTGAAAAAATGATAAACCATTTTAATTCTATCTCACTGACAAAAACGAGAAAAAGGGGATTATCTAGATATAAATGCAAGTTTATTAGTCATAGAGAAACGAAATGTGGTAATACAATTTGACAGAAAATCCGTACAATTAGCACAGTAAACAAATAATATTCTACACATTTGTACATAAAATGAATTTAACAGTTGTTCAAGTTAGGGTCAATGACACCTGTTGCATATGAGATACGGTAAAGAGCGTCGCCTTGACTATTGCCGCTATTAAGTCATGCATAAACCCAATAGCAGCTAATATGTAACAATCAGTTCTATTGTATGTCGGCTCGTAAAAATGTTTCAACTTTTATTTCGGTGTGTATGTATGTATGTATGTTTAATTAAACAAATTATTAAAGAGGCTTAAATTTGTTTAAACTGTTAACGTATTTTTATTCAAGGTGTCTCCAGGGAAAAGTTTTTTTTTCTAATTTAAATATGATGTTATAAATTGAGAAATTAAATATGACATAAATGATATTTCCTATTCAATTGAACAATAATCAAAAAAGTTAGAAATATTTTGATTGTCACATATTTTTATTCGAGGAAAAGTTTGTGATGTTATATATTTTTTATTTATATATGCACATAACCTTGTAAGGTTTTTTTATGCGGTAAAGTTTCCTCTTCTTCTATACATTGAGCAAATATATATATATGACATTAAAATATTGCATATTCAATTAATTATTTATATTACGGAAATGAATGTCTACAATTTTACAATAATTAGATCTTGATGACTGTCATTGAGTACGAAACAAGGAGTAGGATCGCCTGTCCACAGACAGACTCCTACGCACAAGCGAATTCTTGAAATAAAATTCAACGATATGGTAGTCCCGAAATTACCTAGTTTGTGTCGCGTGGACTTTAAACCACATTTCACCCCACATGTTGTTACTTAATCCTGTGCACTTAGGTTTTTTTTTTAAAAAATGATAAATGTAAATATTAACCTACCTTCACGTGAATAAATTACAGTTTGAACCTTTAATTAGTGTACCTGGAATAAATTACAATTTAAACCATTAATTGGTGTACCTTGAATAAATTACAGTTCAAACCAATAATTGGTGTACCTTGAATATTAATTGAGGTCATAAAATAAAAACTATTATATTTGCAGAGTAACAAGCCTTTAATGGAGAAACGCCGTCGTGCTCGTATTAATGAATGTTTAGTAGAATTAAAGGCGTTGGTTTTACAAGCCCTGAAAAAAGATGTAAGTATTATAAAGTATGCACGTCACGACAATATAATTAACATTAATGGCTCATTGCAATTAATGTCAAAATGGTGTTTTTTGTATCTGGTGATTTTTATACCAAATTATTTTTGCGATTAGCATTTTATTGTAATTTTTCGCCCCATTTCAATTCGTAGCGTAATTGAATATAACATGCAACGTTTTATTGCTTATTCAAAAACAGTTTTAAATTTTAAACATTAAACAGGTTTTCATGTTAAAGCACCACAGAAATGAAATCAAATGTAATGGGGTTTAACGTCCTACTGTTCTGCTCCGACTGGGCTAATGAAGACGACGGAAAAGTACCATAGTAGTATTATTAATTTATAGAAAAAAACTTTTAGAGAGAGAGAGAGAGGGGGGGGGGCGTAACGTCCACTCGACACAAACTAGGTCATTTCGGGACTAACATATGGTTCAATTTTATTTCAATAATTCGCTTGCGCATAGGTGTCTTTAGCAGTGGGGGGGGGACAACCCCACAACCCCCCTTCCCAACCTTTACATGGAGTTAAACATATTATGGCCATCTACAATTGTATTATAGCAGCTACAGACTTACAGAATCTTATAAACATCCAGATTTCTTAAATACATCGTTTGAAAACTCTAATTCTAAATTAGCTGGCTACCAAACTAACGTTTGTTTACGGGAAGTGACGTTATAGATTGATAAACAATGGGTGTTATTTAACAATTTTTGCAAGCGCCATTTCGGACTTTAAACTGTCAGCACTCCAAAATTAATATACCTATCTAACAATTATTATCAATAAAAACCGATGACAAATAATTCTGGCTTGTTGTCGCTTTAAACAGTATATAATTCGATAAGATGCTATAAATGTCGATTGTCGTATAAAGAATATGTTCTTGTATCTCAAATTTGTTTTCCCAATGTGTTTTATTATGGGAAACAACATATGGGGTATCAATTTTACAGGAGGATAGGACAATTTATACAAGAGATTGTATAGGCATTACGTGATGATGCCAGTCACACGTCTGACGAACACATGGCACCAGAAAAGTCATCTCTCGGTTGAGAATTCAACACGATAATGGGCGGTATCCTTCTCCAGATTGACATATCGAAGAGGAATAATATTGTTCAAGACAATCAAACACACATACATAAACAATCAGATTTCTCTACAACAACTTATTATGTAAAAATATTAAAGTTTTATACATGCTCATGTGGGTTATTACGTGGTACATGTGCGAATGGTATTTTATACCCACCAATAATAGGAGAACTCGGGAAAAAGTCATGCAAAGCTTTATGTTACTGTTTGTATTGCATCTGAGTTTTATTACCCTCTGTAATTTAACTACATAACATAACTCGAGAATTATCCGCTAGTTTATTTATTGACAACCATATTTCATTCACATGTAAAATTTAACACTCGGGATTACGAAATACCACATGTAACAATTCTGGTCTGAAAGAGAGAGAGAGAGAGAGAGAGAGAGAGAGAGAGAGAGAAGAGCGAGAGAGAGAGATGGGGTTTAACTTCAATCTACACAAACTAGGCCATTTCGGGACTAACATATGATCCAATTTTATTTCAATAATTCGCTTGCGCGTAGAGGTCTTTAGCAGTGGGAGGAAGCCGGAGGACCCGGAGAAAGCCCATGAGGTTGGACAGGCGACCCTACTCCTTGTCACGTACAACCAGGGACTCGAAACCACACCGCTTGACTCAATGACAAACCTTATCATACAACCCCCCAAGATTTTGATAAAGAGCTGGCATTTCTAGCTATACCAGTTAAAAAAATAGACAACCATAATTGAATATATTGACAATTTCAGTCAAATTATTATATTCTGAGCGTAGTTTAATATCACGGTCATCCGTATATACAGTTGATATTATGGGCTTGTCATATGAATATGTACCTAATTAGTAATATACAGAACACTTAAAGTCCCCCAAAAAGAACTTTAACGAATGAATAAAAAAAACCACAGCTAACTGTAAAATATGTTTCAACATGGTTTCCCACGATATATAAGTATGTTGGAACATCTGGACTTATCTAATTGGGTTGTAACTTTTTTGTCTCCACTTGTACTTCTTGATGGGAAATAAGTTAGTGACGTAGGTAACAATCACCTTACTATTTTAATAGTAAAAAGATCGAGCGAGATACATAAGAAGTTTATCCTAATTAATGGGTTTCATTACACAGCGCTCAATTATACCTTTAGCCCATAGAGTGCCTTCCCACGATTTTAAACTAGAAAGTGGCGTAGTCAACAATCGCCTTACAATTAAAAGATCGAGATAGTACTAAAATGTTTTTTTATTGACGAATATGATTAAACATTGTTCCATTATACCTTTCTTCAATAGAATTGCTTCCACCAGAAATTGACAATACTGAAAACATCTTTCTAACCTTTACTGGTCTCTATGCATCTTGTACCATTTCGTTTAGAGGAACACATTTTTAATGTCAGCCAGTACTTGCAATTGTCAAGTAACGAAATCGTTATGCCCGGGAGCGTAGATCTATTTTTTGTTTGTTTCTTCCTTTTAAAAACAAAAACAATTTTTGATGTCTGAAATATGTGTAGGATAAGCGCGATCGATTAATGAAACCGATCGGCGATCAGAAACACCAGATTCTCCGATGAACCTATTGTGTGTCGTTACTTATGCAGTAACAAAATCGAAACGCCTTAATTGAAACCAAATTTTATAAAACAAACCACTTGTTGATCTCCGAATACGTGCAGGTTATGCGCGATTAATACAACTCGTTCGTCTATACATTACAATTCATGGCAATGTTCCACGTATTTCGGTGATTATATCCGCATTAGTAATTTAAGGTGTTGTCAAGGACGAACCTTATTAAAGATTATGCTTGTTAAATAGGAGGCTTTATGCGATTTGAAAAACTCCCACGAAAATAACGCCCTCTGGCGGTATAACGACCGAGAAATCACCTCCCTAAATAATATTTGCTTAATGATAATAATTTAAGACTAAGCCGTTTAGTAAAGCACGACAAGGGGTGAGCACTCTTCATTAATTTATTATAATAAACAAAACAATACGCCATTACATAACACCCTCGTCGTCAGTTAAACTAATTGGCCCTTCCCCAGAAGTGAGTTGAGTTTGTTTATTTTTCCATGCTATTTCCCACGCTGACGGATCACATGATGTTGATAAGAAGGCTATAGCGGCGCGCGCGAGGCACAGTGCCGAAGGCTTTGTCAATAAATTACACCATCATGTAAACTATACCATTTGTTTTCCGTCTCAACGCGGTGATCATCCTTTTTGACTTTTTTCCATTTGTTTATTTTGGGATTGCGAGGGTATTTCGTAAACTTGAACTTATTAAGCGTGTATTATTACAGCGTGGAACAATACGAGCCAGCAGCTTTTCTTTTGTTTGTGGTTTTTAAAGATGCCTGTGAACCACTTGTTGCTTCACACTCAATGATTTGATCATATTTCCTTTATCGGAGGAATGTACTGCCAGCAAGTTATCTCCCTTTGTGTTTGAAACGTATCGATTGTGCAGATGTAGACTGATGTAAGGACGGCCTGGGAACAAAACACCAACAGTAAACAATGAAATACTTTAAAGAGTTCCAACTTTCTTTCAAACCCCAATCTCCGGGTATTTGTATATGGGTGTTGTACTGTGTGTGAATATAGGGCGTTTCGGCCACACACCTGTTTAAAACCTAACTAATTCGTCCGATTAATACCAGTTAGTACCTCTGTGGCCGAAACGTCCGCGCACACTGAGTGTAGTAGTATTGAGCAAATATTGAAACTGAGAGAGAGAGAGAGAGAGAGAGAGAGAGTGAGAGAGAGAGAGATGGGATTTAACATCCACTTGACACAAACTAAGTCATTTCGGGAGTAACATAAGGTTCAATTTTATTTCAATAATTCGCTTGCGAGTAGAGGTCTTTAGCACTGGGAGGAAACCGGAGGACCCACAGAAAACCCACGAGGTTGGACAGGCGACCCTACTCCTTTTCACGTACAACCGGGGAATCGAAATCACGCCAGTTGACTCAATGATACAGCACGCACGCGGTAACCATTCGGTCATCCGCCCCCCCCCCCCCTCCCGGGACTTATGAAGACGGACATACGCCATCCAGTGTCCCATATGAGGGACATTTTGCTCTGACACCAATTGCATTCCAACTGTCAAATGGTTCTTTTACGTGCACGCCAATGTGGACACGGGACGGCGGTTCTTCGTCCAATCCGAACAACTAGACGATGTTCTTGTCAGACTCTCCGTCTAGCATCACTGACAAGGAGGGAACCACGCCGGATTATAAGTCCGAGGAACGTTCACGGCCAACTCGGTATCAATCACGGGACGGCCAGGTTAGCGAGACAGCGCCTTAATCACTGCGCCACCACAGCTCCCTATTGTTGTAACAAATATTTTATCGTGTATGGTATATATATTTTGTATATTTTCAGAGTACCCAATATTCGAAATTAGAGAAAGCGGATATTTTAGAAATGACGGTGAAACATCTCAAGTTACTACAAAGACAACAAATGGCAGGTAAGATATACGTACATTTCATCTCCAGTACGGACACTTTCAGAATATACAAATAAAATGAAATGAATTTAGGTTTAACGACCCTACACCGACTGGGCTAATGAAGACGGGCATACGTCATACAGTGTGCTATGAGAGGGAAATGTTACCAAGACAACGGAGCTACGGTCTACTATTATACCAAATTCCAAAAACCATGGGTTCTTTTACGAGCACACAAATGTGTACACGGGACCTCGGTTTTTCGTCCCATGCGAACGACTAGACAGCTGTCCATGTCAGACCCTCCTTTCCGCATCACTGACAAGGGGAAACCACGTCGGAAATTCCCGATGAACTTTCTCGGCCAATGCAGGGATCGAACACGCGACCTCCTGGCTAGCGAGCCAGCGTCTTACCCACTTAGCCACATATCAATCATAAGTCAAATATATCGATTTTAAGTCAAATATATCGATTATAAGTCATATATATCGATTATAAGTCTGTATTTTAAACTTGACATGATTTCATTATTCATAATTTCACGCAGTTTCCATTTTGTATTTTCAGTTGCCATGACGTCAGATCCGTTTGTGGTTAGCAAGTATCGTGCTGGATTTAATGAATGTGCTGCCGAGGTGGCTAGATATCTTGATGGCGTCCAAGGTGCAAATCACGAGGTCAAAGGTCGTGTTCTTAATCATCTAGCTAATTGTATCAGTCAACTTCCGCCTCCACAAGCGGCACAACTCTTGCCATCGCATATACAGGCCTTGCAAATGCAGTCAGCCAATCAAATGTCGTCGTCTGGGTTAGCCTTGAATTCTATTGGCTCATACAACACTATGTGGAACCTTGTGCAAAACGGATTACCTAGTCAAACCCATATTCCTACACCGGTATATCAGATTCCTCCGACAGCGAAAGTAGAACCCCTACGTCAGTCTGAATCAAAGTCTCCGAAACTAAGAGAACCATTGAAAGATGTTAAAATGGAAAGTAAACAAGAGGTCATGGACATAAAACGAATCATGAACGAAGCACCTTCAAGTTTCCGAATGCCGGAACGAAGTAGTCCCAAACAAGCTACAGAGGCGATCTCCATTTCCATAAAAACAGAGCGAGAACCAACATTTGGTCCACCTGTTCCAAAATTGGACAATAACATGAACATTTTAGAGGCACCGAATTTGGACAATGACAACATGTGGCGTCCATGGTAACGGGTGACTTGTTTTAGATTTTAAAGATGTCTGTGCAGGCTATGACAAACTGTTGTGAAAATGAAGCCAAGTTTTAAATTAAATAGAATGTGTTATGGAGCGGATTCCTTGTTATAAAATTATTTTTGTATTGAATGTTAACTATGCAGTGTTTCGGACTAGGCAGTCCGCTTAGTTCTTGGGGACCAACTTTGGATTATTGTGTTTACTGAGGAATTGACATTGACCTATATATGACGTCACTTATATGACGTCACTAGTGTGATAAGCATTTCATTCTACACATTCCCTACATGTGTAAAAAATCATTTTGTATATTCGATATTTTTTATCATAAAATTCGAATGATTTAACTTTAAGTTTGAAAACAGTTGCAAATTACGTAGTAAACCTTCTATGCATTCATGACTTGCAAATGTATGTGAAAAATGTTCTTCCGTTTTGTATATTCGCATTCTTGTTAAATTCTAACTATATAGAAAGGATAAGATTGTAAGGTTACATGAAAATTACACCTTGACAGGATGCTTTAAAGATACATTGGGGTTTAACGTCCATTCGACAAAAACTAAGTCATTTCGGGACTAACATACGGTTCAATTCTATTTCTATAATTCGCTTGCGCGTAATGGTCTTTAGCAGTGGGAGGAAACCGGAGGATCCGGAGAAAATCCACGAGGTTGGACAGGTGACCCAGCTCCTTGCCACGTACAAGCAGGGAATTAAAACCACGACACTTGACTGTATGACAGACCTTCTGATCCAACGCGCACGCGTTAACCATTCGTCCCACGCCCCGGTTGGTGCAGAAAATTAGGATGGCTTTGATATTAAGTGGATTAGCCTATGCCCGCCATATATACGTTGAACGATGATATGACGGCATCCACTAATATAACAATAACGGTCAGCTCTTTATCTAAATGTAACATAATGCATCTTTAATTGCTCAACCAATGTATCTATACATTTCTTTCTCTTTCTTCGGATGGGACGAAAAATCCGAGACACACGTATGTACTCGTTGGCATGTACGTAAAGAAACTTTGACATTTGTAAGTCGATGAATATTTGACAGAAAAACCCATGCTTGAACCCATGTTTGAACATAATTTCAACTGCATGGATGGTCTGTCTTCTTAGGTCTGTTGGTCCATAAAAGAAGGATGTAAAACTCCATTACATTTCATTTCTGTTTATCATTGATATGATAGTGAAATGATATTAAATTGACATGAACAAACCGGGAATATGTGGTGTGCTATGAGGGGAATTTTGCTCAGGTAGCGCGATAGGTGTCACTCTTATTTCGTATTCCAACTGTCGACCGAGCTCGGTTTTCCACCCCATCCGAAGGACGAAACACAGTTTCTTGCCAGGCTCTCCGTCCTCCACTACTGACAAGGGGAAACCACGCTAGACAATTTCCGAGGTACTTTTTCGTCCAATATATATGATAGTACATACAATATGTTGACTAGAATTGCATGTCGAATGAAGTGCCTTATTATTATTATTATTATTTACAAAATTTAATCATACAGACTATTTATATTTTGATATGAAAAAAGTTTACATCTAACGCATCAGTATATTATATACCACAGAATCCTCAAACGAAAGTTGTGCCGACAGGCCTGGAAATAACGGTTTTAGATGTACCCGACAAAATGGCAGGCGCTAATGAAATAGTACCTGACATTTTTAAATTAGTGCCGGACATGTATTAATAATATCAAAAAAAAGACAAATCAGTGCCGGACAAAATGACAGACACCAGAGGTTTTGTGCCTGACAAAGCCTGAATCTGTGTCTGACATTGTCTGTGACAGGTGCCGTATTTCCAGGCTTGTCTGCCGAATGCTATCACCGAGCTCTTTAAGTCAATTTTCTATCACGATTATTATGTAAGGCCAGACAAATTTGATTTTCTGTTTTTCGATAACACCGAGGAAGAAAAATGTCCTTCTTATTTCTTCAACTAAAAGTACATGATTGTGCTGTTCAAAAGGTTTTAGTTTAGTGAGGGATAAGCCAATGAAACGGTCTGTAACTGCAACTTCTTCATGTGCCATGCACGGAACTGTGGGTAAGCCACTAGAAACGTCAACGCTGATGCCATAGGGTTGAAAGCCGCTTGTACGACCCCTGACACAACCTTCGAGTACAACTTGTCAGATCTGCATGTAGTAGTGTAGTGTAGGCCATCGAAAGTATAAAAAAAAACTAAACGAAATATAGATCTGTATTTTAATCAGATTAGAAAAACAGAAAATCAAATTGGTTTGTCCTTATGAGTATTTTGAATGAAAATCAAACTGTTTTGACCTTATGAATATTTTGAACTGTTTTTAGTGTACATAGTTTATGACATATTCGCCATTGTTAAGTGCTTAAAACGATTAAATTTGTTGACCTTATGAATTATTTGTTGGGAATAAATATTTTGAAATATTTGACTAATTTGTTGCTAATATTTTCGTGATTCACTGGTGACCACAGCTCATGTGTGTATTACGTGCTGCTGTGTGAAAGGTTGCAGGGATTGTGTGGACTTTAGAGCGGATATATTTATATTAACTGTTGGATTAGCCAGGGCGAAAACATTGAAATGAAATGGGGTTTAATGTCCTACTGTTCTGCTCCGACTGGGCTAATGAAGACGGGTATACAGTGTGCCATGAGAAATTTAGCCCGCCAATGTGTACGCGGGACCTCGGTTTTTCGTGCCATCTGAACTACTATACGTTGTGCATTGCCATGCCCTCCGTCTCACATCACTGATAAGGGGTAACCGCGACGGAAAATCCCCAATGAACATTCTCGGCGAACGCAGGGATCAAACACTGACCCACCAGGTTAAGCCTAGCCTTCAACCCGCAAGAAACCGGGAAAAAATAAAACTTCTCAACGGCCAATCTACGATCTTCTACAGTACCCAAAATCGCAAGGGTCGCGTAAATGACACGTAAATCTCACGCCCACCCCCACCCCCTCCCCCGTAGACAGTCCGTAGTAACACGTACAGCTGGTTGTGGGCATTAGCGAGGTAACGTCCCACCCACTGAGCCACCGACAAGGAAAGATATATATGTTATAAATATGTATTCCACATATTGTCGGTCCTTGTCAGGGATTCAGCGCCCAAACTTAAAAGGGGGGTGAGGGGACATATGCCCGGGGGTGACCCTTCTTGGGGGCGGCAAATTATCTGACTGCAGACGAGAAATATTCAAAGTGGGACTCAGCATTTTACTTGACGTTGCTTCCTCTAAACCTGTGTAAACCAGTTCATATTTCAGTAAATAGAGAGGGTATAATTAGGATTTTTCCAAGATATATTATATGGTTTTACGATCAGATGGAGAAGAGTTGATGTGGAAATAAACATACAAATTTTACATATAAGTTAATTTAATAAATAGTTATTTAAATAAAGTGTTAAATGCGGGGGAGGGGAGGGGGCGTCACTGAAACTTTTGTGAGGACCCTGCAGGGATTAGTACGACACCGAGTTTCTAACCTTAGACCGACTTTGATTATTTTACAGTTCGTGTGATGAGGTAGCCCCGACTAGGTTACTAGACGCAACCCTACAATTTAATTATGAGATAGAGAGAGAGAGAGAGAGAGAGAGATAGAGAAAGAGAGAGAGAGAGAGAGAAATGGGGGGCGGTAATGTCCAACTAGGTCATTTCGGGACTAATATTTAGTTCAATTTTATTTCAATAATTCGCTTGTGCGTAGGGATCTTTATTAGCAGTGGGAGGAAACCGGAGGACCCAGAGAAAGCCCACCAGGTTGGACAGGCGACCCTACTCCTTGTCACGTACAACCAGAGGATCAAAACAATGCCAGACCTTACGATTCAACGCGCACGCGCTAACCATTCGGCCATCCCACCTCCTGCTTAACTATGCCACCCAGTTTCAACACAGAGGAATCGGCATGTGTCATTTAGTTCTAAAAACGAAAACGTGAATAACGCAGTTTTAATCTTTTTTCTTTTTTTTAGTCCAGCAGTGTAGAACCTTAAGAAATAGTCAATTTGTTTGGGCGCAAATGATTGTATTTGGTCGTGATGCGCGCGGGCCGGATTTAACCTAGGGGATATAATGAAGAATTGGGAAATCTGTGAAGAAACTCAAATATCAAAATCTAGACTGAATGGCTGACCGCAAGACGAAACGGTTCAATTGTAATTATCGACGCCTTTTGTTGCTCGGCGACTTAATGACGCGTGTCACAGGCCTCGGTCGCGTTTTGCGTGACCAGTCTTTTGTAAGTGGTGATATATGCTAGAAGAAAGTGGGCATTATGAAAGATAATACCCAGTGCACGTGTGGTTATTATACGTCCTCTATACAGGTATTATCTAGGTATATATTTTAATATGATACCTATTATTCTCCTATTCGAGACATATTGTTAAAACATCGTTATTCATTCTTCCATTCATGACATAATATGCAGAGTCAATATCTCCTGGGTTTCTTTTTCTGTAAAATATCAAACATCACGATCTAATGGCGTCTACAGCATTGTTTATCCACGTCATCTTTAATCTTCCTCAATCGATTTTAATACCCATGAGTTTTAGTCTACACTCCCTGATGCATTTTAATGTCAATAGGTCAATTTTATAAATCTGCCATGTCTTGCGTAGGATTAAAGATGGATTATGCACTTAATCTGCCTACTGCAGACCCTTGTTCTTCTTTCAAATATTATATAGATTGTTGTTTAGACATTAATTCACACGATAAGCCTATAATCAACTCTCTAAATCATCCGGTGGTCCAGATTTAAAAGGATTTGAACACAAGACAGATTTTAAAAAATAACGATAAATGGATAATCGAAGCTTCTTAGTATCGGTTGTCCAGTGCCGCTGCTACGATAATAAAAGACGTACGCTACATCGTCAAACAGCCATGCAGAATCAAGTATTTTGAATGAAATTGTCAATGCATTAATTTTTTTAACTATTATAGCACCGGGGGAGGGGGGTATGGCCGATTGGTTAACACGTGCGCGCTGTATCATGAGGTCTGTCATTGAGTCAACTGCCGTGGTTTTAATTCCCGGGTTTTATGTGACAAGGAGTAGGGTCGCCTGTCCAACCTCGAGGGTTTTGCAGGACTGAGGGCCTGACAAGAACAGCTGTCTAGTCGTTCGAATGGGACACAAAACCGAGGTACCGTGTACATATTGGCGTACACGTTAAAGAACCCTTGGCAGTTGGAATTCGATGTAAGAGTAGGCCGTAGCGCCTATGTCTGAGCAAAATGTCCCCCATTGCACATTGTATGGCGTATTACCAGTCGGAGCAGAACAGTAGGACGTTAAATCCCATTTCATTTCATTTATTTAAACCTCTGCTTCGTTTATGGTTAGATGAGGTTATAGGTTATTAGATAGGAGTCAGGGGGTGTGAATATGAGAGAGAGAGAGAAATGGGGTTTAACGTCCACTCGACACAAACTGGGTCATTTCGGGACCAACATATGGTTTAATTTTATTTCAATAATTCGCTTGCGCGTAGGGGTCTTTAGCAGTGGGAGGAAACAGGAGGACCCGGAGAAAACCCACGAGGTTGGACAGGCGACCCTACTCCTTGTCACGTACAACCACGCCAGTTGACTCAATGACAGGCTTTATGATACAGCACGCACGTGCTAACCATTCGGCCACCCAACCCCCCAGGTATGAATATGAAGAGGTTTGGTGACTCATGGGGCCAACCACTTGATATTATAACCCCAAGACTAAAGTGCCGAGAAACTTGTCTGCGACATCACACATGGTGAAAGCGGACATTAGACAAAGTGTTGTGCAATTCAAATTAAAGATACATTAAGGGAGAGTAGATAAAGAGCTGGCAGTTCCTACTATAATACTATAATACTAGATGATGTAAAGGGAAATTTCAGTAAAATTGCTACACTCGGTATCGGGATATTAGCGATTGAATTTTAGACCTAGCCTCGATCATCATTACTAAAGTCGGTACGATAAAAAAAAACTAAAAAAAACATTGTCTCGTTTATCAATTTTTGGATTAAAACATCAATGAGCGTTGAGCAGCAAATCTGATTCAAATCCAGTGAAAATCCGACACATAAGATGGCATCGAGAGTTGGTTATAGCCTTTTCATGTTAATAAATGTCTAATTAATAGTTTAAATAACATTTCCGGCTTAAAGAAATACCTTGCAATAGGCAGATTTAGCTCATGGATAAATGTATGTTTAAAAACAATTAAAGATACATTATGTAAGATTTAGATAAAGAACTAGCCATTCTTGCTATAATAGTTCGAAAGTAGATCATGTAAAATGAATAATTTGAAAATTTCATTCAAATTACTTTATTGCAAGCCAAGATATTAGCCTTTGAAGGTTTGACAGACGTGTGCAATAATTTCAACCACCGTACTGGTTGATCGAAGCTAAGTCTCGGTCCTCCATATTTGATTAAATCAAAGTATCGCTGAACCATTCTAATCTATTTAATATCGGAGAAATCTGATGCCACCGAGAGTTGATTAAGGCCTGGATCAGTTAATTAATGTCTAATAAATACTTTAGAAAACATTTCAGACCTAAAGAAAGACCTGCAATAGGCAGATTTAGCTCTTGCATAATGCATGTTTAAACAAAGTGTTTCGTGCAATTCAGATTAATATTTTTAAAAGTATAAATTGGATATTACATGCCTTAAAGTGTTTTCTAGATGAAAGAGTGCATTGAGGGGAAACAATTATAATGTAGGATAACTCCGTACTCCTCGCAATGTTTCGTTTGTATAGAGCTAATCCCACTAAACACTTCTTTAATGGAAGCAAATTTATGTTCCAAATTATGACTGGCCAATGGTCCGATTAACAACCAATAGCTAACTGCGTAACAATTGGATCATATATGTTTACATAACGTTACATAACGATTTTGTTATGCCCAATTAACCAGTACATAGCAGAATATTGCAGAAAAACTAATTGCGTGACAAACGAGGCTATCAGCACAAATACAATGTTCTACAATACTGTATGGAGACGAATAATACTTTCACCGTTTTTAATACCTTAAATCACTGTCCAAAGTTTTTGGGAAGACCCCAGATTAAACGTAAGGCTGTCATGTTGCTGTACTTGGGATAGATTTGATTGAACGGGAAGAATACACATACTCTCTCAAAAGCTCAAGTATCAGAAGCCAATCCAGCAATGGGCAGAGAGGGATTTCTCGGACCATTGCTTCAGGAATATGGAATAACTCAAGCTTATTAAACCGGATCAATCCACTGTAACCGATAGCATGAAATCATATGGAAATTATTACAATTAAATGACCCATAGTCTGGTCCCCTGGTCCTCAAAATTCAACTGTAAAGTTTATACCAATGTTTCATTTATTATACGTCACTTCCGATTTTACGCACGAGTGGCACGACT